TGACGGCCACTATTTGGCCCAAGAATTGGCAGTTCTCGACGATTCGCAGCTTCTGTTGCGGTGACGTCCGGGCGAACACAATCTCCCGGTAGTCGTGCAGTATTTCCCTGAGCTCGGGGTCAGACATGTGCGCCAACTCATCGCCCGGCACTACAATCGACGCGCTGTTACCCCGACTCACGCGGTTTACCTTTGGGTCTTGAATACGGGTCGACCGCCGGTGAGAGTCCGTGAATATGCCCACCATTTTTGCGATTGCCTGAGCGGTGATTGGATGGTCGCCGGTGACCATGATCACTTTGATGCCCGCTGTACGGCATTTGGCCACCGCGTCCGGAACCGTCGCTCTGGAGAGAGAGAGAGAGAGGGAGAGAGAATAATAAATTAATTGTCATTAATGTAATTATTAAGTTAATAAATAGAGATCGACAATTGAACAATGTGTTGTTCAGGTATTACAAACTGTAATTTTAATGACATATATTGTTTTAATTAATTATCAAATTTAAATATATAATGTAATGGCTTAAATTGATACAAATATTTTAAAATAAATATATAACATATTTAAATAATTTTTAGCTATACTAAATATGATATTTTACAATGTCATAAATTGTAATTACCTTGGCGGATCAATGAGTGCTACCAGACCCAGAAAACGAAAATTATCGAGCTCAAAATGTTGCTCATTATCCAGATCAAACTTGTAATCAGTCGGAAACTGCGTAAACTCTGTATCGCAAAACGCGAGCACCCGTTCGCCCATCGATCCCCACTCCCTATAGGCCGACTCAAACTCAGCCAAATGGCGGTCATTCATGGGCACCGACTGGCCCTCAGCCGTCACAATCGTAGAGCACAGCTTAATAATACGCTCGGGCGCGCCCTTCATCACCAGGGTGAAATTGTTATTTAGATTAGGGTCGGGCACCGGATTCCGATGTATGGAAAACTGGTACTTTGTGGTCGAGCTAAACGGCCGTTCGGCCACTTTTGGCCAGCCCTGCCTGTACTGCATAACCGGCCTATCGGTGACCGACTCCATGAACCTGAGGATAGCTGTCTCGCTGGCGTCGCCCGCGGCCGCCCTCTTCATAATGTCCGGGTTATCGTCGGTAAACTCTGTGCGAGAGCAGAGCCGCGCGCACCGGTTGTAGGCTTGCCAACAGTCCTGTATGTCCTGCGTGTCGGCGTCTACTTCCTCCTTGACGTGACTCATACGGTAGATGTGTCCGCCCAGATAGCAATGCTCCACGGTCATACGGTTTTGAGTGAGCGTGCCCGTTTTGTCCGAGCATATGGTCGACGTAGAGCCCAGGGTCTCGACAGCTTCTAGGTATTTAACTAGGCAGTTTTTTGATGCCATACGCTTTGCTGTTAGGGTTAGCGCTACGGTTAGTGCCGGTAGTAGACCTGGTTAATTTGTAATATAAATGTACTGTATGAGTATGGTAGTTTTATTGTAATTTAGTAATAGTATATAGTAAAGTTTTTGTGATTTGAAATTTTTGTTTGATTTTATTGAATAGTGTATAATAATATTAATAGAAATTATTTATGATTGTTTTTATAATCATTATTGTTTTAAAACCTGACATTGTATATATTCTCTAACCCTATTCATTTATTTAATATGCTATTAAATTAAATATTTTACTTTGATAGACTGTAATCGTAAAATTAGTAATTATTTATCCCATCTAAATAGTTTTGTATAGCTTTTTAAACATTGGAGAAGGCACTGCTAATGTTTATATTATTTGCAACTATGATCAGTATCAAACGTTAATGCAATTAATGCATCATTTATTATAATAAATTTTGATAAAATTTTGAAATCGCTTGATTTACTTAAAGTTTTTCAGATTTTTATACATCAATTTTCTAGGTAGGTTAAATACTGTAATTGATCATTTTATAACTCTCTAATAAATTATAATTGTATTTATTAGTAAATATTTTGGCTTAAGAAAATCATCACATTCAAAATGAATAATAAACTATGACCAAGGTATACATGTAATTAAATGTATTTTTACAATATTATAACCGCCAAAATTGAAATATTTACCAGAATTTGTTTAACTTAATTAGCTAATTTTAAATATGTACAAGGGCCATTGGCAAAAATTTATTCCATTAATCTTATTATTATATCATCCTGAATGTGATAGTATAGTTTAAATTACATAACTCAAATTTTTACTTACGATGTACCCAACTAAGACTAATTAAAAGCCAAACAACCGGACCCATAAACAGGTAATAACTAGACCTTAACAAAAATGTTAGCTAATCTTTAGGAAAAATGCCAAAAATAATAAAATGAGCAAGCTGAAAACGTCAGCCCAAATCACATTAAAAGCATTACACCTTTACCTATAGCCAGGGCCATAATAATGTTGATAAAACGGCTAATATTGATAATTATGAGTGTTTTTCAGGGTTAAACCAGTAGCGAGCTTGACAATTTTTTTCATCACGGTATTATTGCATATGACCACAACATACCCGGAGCCGTCCACACAGTTGATTATGGGGACGTGTAGTGATTGGCCGAACAATCCCATGAACTACATTATTCATATCTCAAATGTGGTTTAAAAATTGTTTGGTCTTTTTACCCCATGCATCTATAAAAGTAAATCTAGTTAATTAATAAAGCACCATTAACAAAAATTACAGTTTTTATTGTAAATTCTAGTTTTATTGAATTCAAAGAGTTATATAACCAAGTCTAATTTAATAATTATTCTAATTCAATAAAATATAAATGTGATTCTAATTTTTATCTGGTTAGCCTATTTGACCATTTTTTTTACAACTTCCATGATTAATAATATTAGAACTAATCTATTGTTACTCTAATTTTAATACTTATTTTAAATATAGAATACAAACTGTAATTATAATCTAAGTAATCGAATTAGTTAAATCATAAATATAAATTATGTAATTAATTGGATCACGATGAATTATTGAGATATTATAAATAATATATTAATTTGATGAATTATGCAATTAATAATTTTCTATATAAAGAGTACACATGTTTGCATAATAAATAACAAATAAACATCATATGTTTTAGACGCATAACAGACAAACTAGACTAGGTAATTTTTAATTCATAAGTTTTAATTCCATAGTTTAACAAGATCAGTTATTGAATAATAAACATTAACTTTTTGAAATATCAACATAAAAGTAAACTCGTTTTAGAGACTGTAATAAAATGCAAATAAATTTTAATTGACAATTAATACATAAATATAATTAATAATATTGGACATGGAGTTAGACATCACAAGATTTTAGCACTAAAATAATTCATCATGTATTATAAATATGTGTTAATATTTTTTTATAAATTCAATTTTTAAAATTAACATAATATTACTATAATCTCTAATAAATAATTTATTGTGCTCACGGGTACATTTTAACAATATTCATTTTATTACTATTACAAATTTATGTTTTTACTATGATAGACTGTAATGATAAAATTAGTAATTATTTATCCCATCTAAATAGTTTTGCATAGCTTTTTAACTTTGGCAATTAACTGTTGTGAGTTTATATTATTTTACAAATATGGCCAGTAACCAACTTATAGTGTAATTAATGCATTAATTATTATAATAAATGTTGATTAAATTTTAAGCTAGCAAAATTTTATTTGTATTATATTTAATATAATTAATAATTTTCAGCATTTTATCCATGTTAAATATTGTAATTTAGCATATTATAACTTTCTAATCAGTTATAATAAGCTTTATTAGTAATTATTTTGTGTTACAAAACCGATACGTTTATATTTTAAGTATTTTTGTAATTTAGTTGACATGTAAACATTTTTTAACAATATAAAATATTATTATTTTAATAGTATTTACTATTTTTATATAAATTAATTTAATTTATGAAAATAATTTGAAATAAACATCGTTTTTATCCCATTCATTAAATAAAATGTAACAATTGTATACAAGTTTACGTAAATATGTTTAATATTACACGTTATACATGTGTAAGTCAAATCTCTCTCTCCCTCTCTCTAAATTACAATAAAAACTTTTTTATTGTAAAATATCATATAAATTAGATATTAATGTATCCATGTATACATTATAAGCAAAGAGTTCACTTTACATATTTTTACATATTTTTGCGGTAAGAGATATCAAACTCTAACTTAAAGATCTATCCGAATCATGTAATAAGGAGTATTTTG